AATGAAAATAATTATTATTTAATGAAATGGCTTTATTTAAAAAAACGAATTTAAATAAATAGAAATATCATGAATATTTTTGAAATACATTATTAAAAATGAAGTTTATAAAACATTGTTTTTTTAAAGATATTTTTAATTAGGGAAAGTATTTTTGTGGTACAGAAAATTTTTGTTATATGAGGAACTGGAATGTCTATTTTAAGTACCTTTAGGGGTTCTTTTTGTATTGTCACCAGGCATAATGCTGAGTAAAATAAATTGTTTCAGAGAGTTTAAACAACTTATCCCACAAATAATATTCGAAACTTAGTCGAATGCAAATCTAAAACCTAATCTCTAGGTTAATCCGCTAACGATCTTTCCCGGGTTGTTTATTTTTACTTAATTTTACATAAACAATTTTTTTTTATCCCAACGGAGGTGAAAGTGTTTCTAAAATAAGTTACTCGTGACCAAATAACTTATTTCTGTTTACAAGCTTTGGCAAAAAATTAATGCGGTGGAAAATTCCGATTATATTCGTTCCCCCGAAATTGTCGTTTGGGCGAACGGGGAAAGAAAAAAGAACGATATCGTTCTGAGCTAAATCGAGCTTAAAATCTTCTCAATCAGCAATTTCGTGTTGTAGTGGAATGAAAGCAGGAAATTTTTAAAACTCTACTTTTGTGGGAAAAGTGGCTTTTATTAATATTAATCCGTCGTTTGCTGATGTGCAGACGATTTTCCTAAAGGGGGTGGAGGAAGATTTGGAATGCCTTTGGGGATATGAGGATGCCAAAGCGGTGAGAGAGTCTTATAAAATGACAGCTGGTTCCTTCCAAAGTCATCATTCGCTCATTGTTCTTAGTGATTGGAACTACCTCGAATTTACTTGTCTTTTACCAGTAAGTAAAGAATTTGATTTTGGATTTTCTAACTACTTGGATTTTTCTTGCAGTTTTCGTGGAATATTGGATACCTATACCATAAAACTTGGATTTATTTCACCATGACAGGCAAAGAAAGATTCTTTGGGTTTCGTTTTTTAGAAGAAAAAGTTCTTTCGAGTTATGTCGTTATGGAAGATGGAAATATTTCTTAGATATTTTTGAGCTAGAAAAGCATATTTTTTTGAAAATGTATGAGTTTTCTAATCTAGGTAGTTTTAAATTTCAACTGCGTTCGGATTTCAGATCTGTACATATTCTTCATTTGGAATTTTGTTCTAACAGAATGCTAATGTTACTACATCTAGGGATTCTACTCGCAAAATTAAAGAAAATTTAAAGAATTTCTGATTTTACTGTTAAATAGTTTTTTTTACATCGCATAACCAGGAGTCCTATAATATTTTTATGATATTAGATCGATTCCTCATAAAATATTTCGGTTGGTTTACTTTGAATTTAATTTAAATTGTCTATGCTATAGATTTCAAATCTATAGAACTTCTCTTAAAAGATTTTTTTCTACTTCGCAAAATAGTTTTCTAGAAAAGAAGAAAAATAATCATAAACAGAAAATTTAACAAAGCAGAGTTGAATTGAATCTTATCCAGAATAACTGGAAAGTTTTCATAAATGTATTTTAACTGCATTTACACAATGCGTTTTTAATACCTTTTTTTTTTATTCCATCTCTTTTAACTTTTTTTTTCATATCCTGAAATCATAATAAGCGCCCTCTATTGAGAGGTTTACAATTAATCTATTATACCTGAATCAGTTTTAGAATTTATGTTTTTTTTTTTTAATTTGACATATGTCTATGTTTTGTTTGTTATGAAATGTATGGACATTTATCAATTTATATTTATTGTAGAATAAGGATTACTATAGTCTCTTAATTAATACAAATCCTTGAATTTCTTAATTAACTTAACTTAATTTTATTATTTAACTTTAACGTAATTATTTTTTATATATGTTTTTCTGTTTTGTTAACTTTTAATAACTGTTAACTGTTTAATTAACTTAATTTGTTCTATATTTTCTAAATTATTCTTATGAAATCAAATATTTATGCAAGAAATAATTAATTATATATTAATGAATATTTAGTTTTTATAATTATCGATATAAATTCCAGATTAATTTTAAATTTATTTCTTCATGAAATAAAGTAAAAAGAAATTTTGATTAAAATTTAAAAAAAAGAACGAATAATTTCATCTATAGATAGATAAATTTAATTTTTTTGTACTATTTTATTTGAAATAAAAAAATTGCTTCTTTTGCAGCATGAATTTGAAATAAATTTTTTTTTTTAAGTAAAAAATATTTTATTATAAAGATTTTCCCCTTAATATATAAAGAAGTAGGAATAAATTAAATTACTCATTCACCTCCAATCTTTTAGTTCAAAATGGCTCTTTTTAAAATTTGAATGGTTTATTTTAGAATCACTATTTGAAATAGTCTAGTTCAAAATATCATGCACTAAAATAGTAACTAGCTCCTTCATGATTTTCTCTGCTATTTAACCCCCCCCCTCCTCGATTTTATTTCTGACGTCAGCAATTATTTTACTTATATGTTTTCCTTTTTGTAGTCTCCTTACCAAAGATGGGTTGAATTTTTAAAGGAGTAACAATAATCCTTTTTGATAATCAATTATCAAGATTTTGTAAAAGTGTATATCCAAACTGTTTCATACAAAGAATTGAAAGCAAATTAGAAATTGACCTGACGATCACGAACAATGACATTACGTAATGATCTTTTTTACAGTAACTTTCTGTAGAATAGAAATAAAATTTCATAAAATCATTACTTTATAAATGAGAACTATCAATAAGGATGTTTTATAATAACCATCCCTCTCATTTGATTTACAACACCAATACACAACAGCAGTTTCCTGGCGAAGGTGAAATACTTAGAAGTTTTAATAATTCCTAGGACTTGTGATTTCAGAAGGTTGCCAAGAAAAGTTTGAATGCTTTGTGGAAGGAAATTTAATGAAAAATTGCTTGTCAACTGGAAACTTTTATTTTCTAAAATAATGGATTAATAGATTATAACAAACTGTATTGTAATAGTTACAGTATATCACAGTACTAATAGTTAAAATAAAATTAACTGCTAAAATTCAACATGTGATATTAGTTTCACGAGACTTCTAGTTTTCTGTAAGCACACCTTCCTCTAAAAATATCCATTCCAAACTCTCTTGGATTTTAGGTGCTCAAGAGTTTTAGGCATGAGATTAAAAGATACTATGTCCCATCATAACAATAGCAGTTGATGAATTTAATTTGTCCCATAAAAAATATAGAACGAAAAGGAAATAAATATAGAAAGAAACATTTATTATCAAAAAACTAGATTAAATTAAACAAGAAATTAAAAATATTACTTCTAATTTTTATTTTGAGTGTTCTAATAGTTTGTGGATTTTTCAATAATTTCATTACCTCATTTTAAACTTGTGTTAAGATCTGTTGGCTGCGAAGTTTCGCTTTCCCTTTATGTGTAAGCTTAAAAATATTGGAACCATAGATCTTCATTGCTTCCAGCATAAATTGTTGAAGTGACAGAAATGGAATGTAATGCAGATTTGCTTCAATGGTGTGAATTGTTGATCTAAGGATGCCTCTTCTGTTAAGAAAAACATGTCTAAGTTTTCCTCCATAATTTTTGTATTTACGTCCACAGTTTTGTTTCTCAAAGAATCGCCATTAACCTTGACAATTATTTTTGTAGTATGTTACCAAATTCTACATATGGTCATTTCGTTGCCTATAAATTGTTTTGCAGTTAACATAATTGTACTTTCCTGTAACTGTCCGTTTTCGTTTCGATGTATCAAGAATTGAACTCGACCTTTGCTCGAAAACTCTTTTTTTTTCATCTTGCTTTTATAATGGGTTGATTGACAATCGATTGCGATCGGTGGATGAAATTAGAGAAATAGTTACAATTCGTTAACCTGAAAATGTGCCAAAGCAAATGACAGATGTCATGAAACCTTGATTTTGATGGAAGGCACCGCATATTTACGCTACAATGTAACTTTCAGCTGCATTCGCCAATAATTCCCGTCTAAATATTTACTTGCTAGTATTATAATGGTGCAGAGGGAATATGAGATTTAAAAAACATCAATTGTTCTAAACAAGACTGTCAAATACTTGCTTTAGTGCTTATCTTTTTGAAAGCCTCTTTTATTGCTGCAATGTGCTACTGTATTCTTTTTTTTCCTCATTTCTTTTCTATTTCTCATTTGCTTCTAGAGTCCCATAAATCTGTAAAACAAAAACTTTTAACGATGAAGTCCTGCTTGCTTGCTGTTTTTCTGTGGGTTGCGGTGCTTGCTGTAGTGGTGGGTCTCTCGCGGGCCGCGCCCCATCACCATCGTGATCATGATCGTCGTGAAGCCGTCGAGATGTTGGCTGCTGGCCTCATTGCTAAAATGCTCTCCGAAATCCATGGATGAAGCACGGTGGTTGTGAGTTATCATGTCAATAACACTCATAGAATTAACAGTGGTTGTGGTTGTGATTTAATCATTAATAACACTCATAGCGCTGAGAAAAAATATATCCGTACTTTATGGTACTTTATGTAATGCAGGACTCTAACAATTTTTCTTACAGAGAAAAACGAGGAATGTTGAAAATTTATAAATTGTTAATTTATAGACATTTAAGCAATAATAATTAATAACTAATGTGGTGGTATTTTTCATATTGAAATAATTAATGATATTCATTAATTTTACACACTTTTAATTTAAAATGTATAACATTTATAATATAATAACGTTCGTTATTGTTAAATATTTCTCATTTAAATCTCTATAAAGACAGTTAAATTATGTTAGTCTTTATTTATTATAGTAAAATGTAATTCAGTTAAGTTTTTATGAAGTTTCGCAGCATTTGAAAAATGCTTAAACCAATACGTAATGATAAGAGATAAGTCGTTGAAATTTATCATGCAATTGATGATTGCAAGTATACATAATCTATAAATACTGATCTATACTAATCCATCGATTTGTTAAATGAATTCAAGGCCAACTGAATATACCGGTTCTCGTTAGATCACCGAAGTCGAGCATCGTTGGGCGCGCTCAGTACTTGGGTGGGTGACCACCTGGGAACACCGCGTGCCGTTGGCAAATTTGGGACCTGAACGACCGAGTGTCTAGCGCTCTGGCGCTCGGTAAAACAGGTTTCGGGTTCGAATCCCGGCGGTGCCATGGATGTTTGTAGTGGTGCGGAATCCACTTTAAGCCGTAGGTCCCGGTCTTCTATGACTGTAAGAGCTTCACGGAGCAAAAGTCAGGCTTCTACCTACGGGTGCTCCATCACAACAGAAGCGGCTTCCTTCCCCTTCAATCATGAGTACGTATGGGCTCGTGGGCTTGGCCAGCCAAGTGGGATAAGAAACAACAACAACAAACAACAAGTCCCCAAAAAATTTTTCTGATTCGTTTACAGACCTAGATTTTGCTAGACTGAAATTCAAATCAAGTCAAATGCATATTGTGAAACGTATTCCCGCATAATATGAATCAAATACGAATTTTCAAACTTTTTGCTTGATAAAAATTTAAATAAGGCTAATAGTCATTCGGAAAATTTTTTTAAATAAAGGTTAAGAGAAAAATGTTCTCTTCTAGAAAAATTCATAAATCACCAAGTAATATCAGTCTTTTTTTTTTTTGCTTTAAGAAAATATAGAAATTACTTCCGATTAAGTAAAATCCAAATAATACTGAATGATGTAAGCAATTTAAATATTGCCAAGATAGTGATTGTAAACAATTCAAATATCGCCGAGAGAATCACAATAAGCAATTCAAATATTGCCAAGAAAGGGATTGTAAGCAATTCAAATATTTTCAAGAAAGTGATAGCAAGCAATTCGAATATTTTCAAGAAAGTGATAGTAAGAAATTCAAATATTGCCAAGATAGTGATAGTAAGAAATTCAAACATTGCCAAGAAAGTAATCATAAGCAATTCAAATATTGCCAAGAAATTGGTAGTAAGAAATTCAAATGTTGCCAAGAAAGTGATAGTAAACAATTCAAATATTGCCAAGGGAGTGATTGTAAGCAATTTAAATATCGCCAAGAGAGTGACAGTAAGCAATTCAAATATCGCCAAGAAAGTGATAAGAAGCGATTCAAATATCGCCAAGAAAGTGATAGCAAGCAATACAAATATCGCCAAGAGAGTGACAGTAAGCAATTCAAATATTGCCAAGGAAGGGATAGTAAGCAATTCAAATATCAAATATCAAATATCGCCAAGAGAGAGGGATAGTAAGCAATTCAAATATTGCCAAGAAGGTAACATAAGCAATTCAAATAGTGCCAAGAGAGTGATAGTAAACAATTCAAATATCGCCAATAAAGTGATTGTAAGGGATTCAAATATCGCCAAGAAAGTGATTGTAAGCAATCAAAATATCGCCAAGAGAGTAACAGTAAACAATTCAAATAGTGCCAAGAAAGTGATAGTAAGCAATTCAAACATCGCCAAGAAAGTAATAGTAAGCAAGTCAAATAGTACCAAGAAAGTAATTGTGAGTAATTCAAATATTGCCAAGAAAAATCTAATGATTTCTCTTTTGTTTCAGATAAAGTGAAGGTGAAAATGGTCAGCTCCAGAACCCTCGTTGTCCTTCTGTTGGTGGTTTCTCTTTTAGGTTCCTCCATTCTCGCTATTCCCCACCATGATTACGGTGGCATGCTTGGCGGTGGTGGCGGCGGAAAGCATGGCGGTGGATCCCGAATTGTCGAGATGTTGGCTGCAGGACTCGTCGCCAAGATGCTGAGTGAGATGCATGGGCATCAAGGTTGTCACCATCATGGTTGAGACATTTTCACCATCATATTTTGTAAATCATTTTTCACCCAATTTTTTGTAAATAGTCAATTAAATCATATTATATAATACATTTGTAAATGAATTTTGTGTAATAAATATTTTTTTCACGTGAAAATGTGTTGGTTCCTTATTTTCTGCTAAAAACCATGCTATTATGTATTGGAAAGTAATAAATGATGCTTGAAAACTAAAAACTAAAAATTATTTATTAAAAATTAATTAAAATTAAACTATGATTTAATTTTTAATGGTTTTTGTTAAAATTAATTTCCCAAATAAATGCATAAGTAAGTTTATATTTGCTCAAATTGCAAAATAATTTACTATTGAAATTTGCAAATCAATTTTTAATTTTTTTTTTATTTTCAGTTATATAAAATTTTGTTCAGTTTAGAATTATATATTATAATTTATTTACATTATAAAGATTGTAATAAAATATGTAGTAAAATAAATTATTTGTAATAACTATTTAAAATATTTGTTCTAAAATATTCTTTTATTGTGAAAGCTTATTGATTTATTTTTTAATACTAAATGTAAAATGTAATTCATGCATCTTCACATTGTACAAAACATTTTAAACATGTTTAACCAGATGATTTTTTTTATGTTTAACCAGACATTGTTTATGATTGCCCTATCCTTTTGAATTTTTTATAATAATGAAACAAATATCTTACTAGCTATTTCTTATTTCAATGAAATGATTCAATATTCAATGATTTCCTTAAAACCTCATTTTAGGAAAATAACATATTCAACGTTTCCAAAAACTGTCCTCTTGAACTGTTACAAATCTATATAAAAATTTCTTTTAAATAGTTTTTCATTCAAAATATAATTTTTTATCATATGTACATTTATGCGTTTAAGAACCACATCCTAATATTTTTACCTTCTTATGAATTTTTAGCTCAATAGAAGATATATCTGCACAATTTATTATCCCTGATTTATAAGTAAATGTATCCCCATATCATTCGTGTAATTGTTTTATATAATTCATAACATCATTATTACTTATCCATAATATATAAACTAATTTCTCTGCAGTATAGTACATGTTGCACCATTACCTCCCTAACAATACGACTCCAAAGTCGTCTATTTCGAGCTTTGATTTTCCAATTTGTGTTCTTTGGATTCTTCAGACTCTTCCATTATGGATTCTTCAGATTCTTCCACTATATGGATTATTTTCTGAAGTATCAAAATAATTAATCAATCATGTATTTATAAAAATAATAAATTTGAAAATATAAAAATCGAAAAGTGCCTAGATTTATAATAGATCATCGATATCAATAGTAATTTATAATAGATCATCGATATCAATAGTATCTAGATTTATAATAGATCATCGATATCAATAGTATCCTAGATTTATAATAGATCATCGATATAGTATACTAGATATCAATTTATAATAGATCATCGATATCAATAGTATCCTAGATTTATAATAGATCATCGATATCAATAGTATCCTAGATTTATAATCAGATATCAATATCATCGATATCAATAGTATCCTAGATTTATAATAGATCATCGATATCAATAGTATCCTAGATTTATAATAGATCATCGATATCAATAGTATCCTAGATTTATAATAGATCATCGATATCAATAGTATCCTAGATTTATAATAGATCATCGATATCAATAGTATCCTAGATTTATAATAGATCATGATTCAGGATTTATAATTGGGGAGTTAGTGTCCTAGATTTATAATAGATCATCGATATCAATAGTATCCTAGATTTATAATAGATCATTTCAAGTATCCTAGATTTATAATAGATCATCGATATCAATAGTATCCTAGATTTATAATAGATCATCGATATCAATAGTATCCTAGATTTATAATAGATCATCGATTTAGTAAGATTTATTTCATCGATTTATCAGGATAGTGATTCAGGATTGGGGAGTTAGCTTTCATGAAGTGGCTGAAATGTTAATCCCTTCTAAACTGTGCATAATTTGGAAAATTTATTTATAGGATAGTGTGGAGGAAGGCTGAGAGATTCTAGTAGATGGGGGGGGAGAATCACGCTATGTAGAGGGGGTAGGGATAAGTTGGCCTAGAATTAAGTTGTTACATTTCGATCGAGATCTAAACGTATTTCGGGAGTTATCCATGGATAAATGGAAAGGTCTTGCGGAAAGTAACTCAATGTAACACTAAAAACGACAATGCAATAAAATTTATGTGTGAGATACATAACTAAATAAAATTTTTAAGGATGACTTATATGTAATTTTCAAGAAAACATATTGGAGAAAGTAGAAGGACTGAAGACAAATTTAAAAAGTCCAGAAATTCATATGGAGATAGACAATGTGAGTACAGAGTCTTCGATCGACTGTGCCACCAACAGACCCACTACTACCTTGTTTTAGTTTTAAAATAAGATAATAAAAATATTAAATGCTTTGATTAATATGATCCCATATAAATAGGGTTATTAAATTTTACTACCGTTTTCTTCATGTGCATAACTTCGTGGAATAATTTTCATCAAATAAAGTTCTAGCTTTCTCAATTTTCAACTTGTTCTTACATTCTTTCTTTTCCTTTTATTTTAATTATCTATTAATTTCGAAAAATCTTCTTCAAAATCCTGTATACAGATATTTTAGTTGTCTTTTAGACAGATATCTGTTTTCGAACAATCTATCTGTTTAAAATTTACATTTATAAACTTTTGTAATAATTTAATCCCATTTCAAAATACTGCTTCTAATTTTTATGATTAACAACACAATTTTTTTCACAATTGTTAATAATTATTCTTATTATTCGTAATAAGAACTAATAATTGTTCTTATATTTCCATTAGTGGTAAAGGTAAATCTAAATGAAAATCACGAAATTTTTTTGGCTAGGTTAAATTGACTAATATTTGAAGTATTATGTATTTTATGAATTAAATGTATAACATCATTTTTATGTAAATACCATTCAAAATCTTTTTATCTTATCTTATCTTATCAAATCAATCTTATGTGCAAATATTGCACATCTATAGAGGTTATTAGTGTCTAAGTATATTAGATAATTTGATAACTTTTTGTTTTCCTTATGTTTTGTTGTTCTAATGCAGCTGGCAATACTGAGACAGTTAATATTTATGCCATAAGCAAATGCTTCACCGCTGTTACTCAATTAGCACTACCCAGGGGGTATATTGAAGATATGCTACAGACTCGAGTAACACTACCTCCACAACGCTCTACGATCCTATTAGACCGGCACCT